TTATTGCCACAAAGGAGAAGGGGTGGGGGTAGAGGGTGGCAGGTGGAGGCAGTTACACTTACAAACCTTTCTTACCCACCTCTCATCAGCCAGTAGAGCTTGCTAAGTATTAGTATACCTAAAGGCAGTATGCTGCAGGAAGTTCCTTCCTTGGGTAAAATGTCTCCTGAAGCTCCATATCAACTCCTACTCAGTGCTATGGAAAAATGCTACAAAGTAGCCCATTGGTTATTCACAGTCAGTGAATTATTGCATATATTATTGCAAATCCAAATAAATATAAGCAGCTATTCTAGTTTTGAGGATTGAATGAGCATTAAGAGTCTATGCACCTCTCATGATAGAAACAAATAGCACTTTTCCATTTCTCCAAAGATTACATAGCTCTTAATATACAGAATCACTGACTTGTGATGTGAAAGGGCCCCATTTTCTCTGTGTGACCTGAGAGAGCATGTTGTAGGTTTGATGCTAATTTGTCACATTTCCCACTGATCTTGGAACAAATTCCTTGCACAAACTTTAAAACTCCCTCCTCTTCACTCTAGAAATTTAAGGAGTTTAAGGTCAAGTGAATTTATTCAAGAAGCTTTGTAACTCCCAATCTCTAACCAGTTAATTAAGTAGTCATTTAAAAATTACTTCAAAAAGAGTGGCTTTACGGTAATAAATCATAACATCAGAGCAAATAGATATAAAAAAATCCAGGATTAGATTTTTTTAAAATATTTTACCATGAAAGAAGAAAAAGCTTAAATGACAATTATTAAACCATTAACATTTCTTATTTTAAAGTGATTTTAATGCCTTTATTATCTGTTTTAAATTATATGGGAATCAAATTTACTAGTGATTAATTTAGTCACCAGATGTATGGAATCCCCATTGATATGAATGGTAGTTCTATGTGCAGATATACTGCAGAATTAGGTTTGTAAGCTCTATATAGTTTCATTGAGATCAGTGGAACTACCCATGGAAATGAGCATAGAAACTGGACTGTTTGCAGGTGTAGTGGCTTCCCGCTCGCCACAGCGCCACCTGACGTCGAGTGGGGAATTAGCACTGCTGGCAGGTGGCCGGATCCCTTTCAGGACACTGCCCTCCGGCAATGTCCACTACACCCTGAGCTTTCCCCCCGCTTCCGGGGGCAGTTTGTGAGAGGCCGGTAGGCCTTCAGGAGGCAGTCCCTCCGCCTCCAGCACAGTCCAGCCCACCACTTGTCAGTCTATTATCATACAGTTCGAGGCAGGGCAACCATTCTAGTCCTGTCCCTTTAAGATGCACGGACGGTCCCAAATGCACCGTAGGTATGCCCGGGCTCTGGACAAGTGGTGGACTTATTTCTCTGCGGCCCGGACCTGAAGTAAGGCCGGGCGCACGAACAATTACCTCTTGGCCCGACCTGAAGGAAGGCCGGGAAGAGACTCGCCCGCCTGGACTGTTTTAAGGCATGGTAACGCAGGGAGGCAGGCACGTCTCCGACTGGGCTGGAGGCGGAGGGACCGCCTCCTGAAGGCCTACCGGCCTCTCACAAACTGCCCCCGGAAGGGGGTGGAAGCTCAGGCTGTAGTGGACATTGCCGGAGGGCAGTGTCCTGAAAGGGATCCGGCCACCTGCCAGCAGTGCTAATTCCCCAACTCGATGGCAGGTGGCGCTGTGGCGAGCAGGAAGCCTCTACAGCAGGATTGGGTATTCCATATGAAAGTTAACTAGTAAATTCACACAGTTAACTAATTTATTTTCTGCAAGAGAAGCATACCTCAACGTTTTTTGTAGCATAAAATTTATAGTTAAATCAACTAAAATTTAACGTTATCCTGATCTGGTATTTTGCAAAAATGTTTGGGATTTGTTTTGTTGCGCAGATAACCTTTCTCATAGTAACAATTAAGTGAGCATGTAAGTAATTCATGAAAACATCTTTATTTAGAAAAACACTTAAGCGCATGCTTAATATTTAGCTCATGCTTATATCTTGTTGTTCTCTTGTAGTGTAGATTTATTCACGTGTTTTAATTCCTTTCCAGAAACTAGTAAGCTACAGTGAACAAGGAAAACACTATTCATAGTACTAATGTAAGAAACACCACAATACTGGTATTCATGAGGGATTTTATTTGCATGGCATATAGTATTGCTGATGGGATTGTTAGATATAGATATTTCTCTCTCTCTTTCCATCCCTCTCTCTCCTATGCTGTGCCTACTCTCCATGGGGTGCATTTTATAACTACAACCAGTGCAATTTCTGGGGCTAATATCCTGTTTGTTGCTTTGAGATACTGATTGGGTATGCTATCCTGTGGATTGCATTAAAAAACATGCATTGGGTCTCAAATGATGAGTGATTTAAACTCATGATTTTTAAATGTTTCAGTTTTGGACTAATTTTATTTGTTTTCTGGTTTCTCAGCCTTTAAGGTGTACCTGAGTCACATTTTCAAGCTTTTCTCTGCATATGAGGGCTAAACATTCTTTTTTTTTTTAAATGAAACCTCAGATTCTCACCTAAACTCATGAACCCAGGAGCTGGGGCTTTGAGGAAAATACCACAAGACTTATGGTAAAATTGCAGAGTGTATATAGCTTCGGTTAATTCGGCATAGCCCTAGCAAGCCCCCCTCCCTCCCTTGACAAAACAGTGACAAGAAGAGATTTGTCTTTGTATGGTATCTGATCTGTATGTCCCTCTTCTCCTCCAAATTTATTTCCTGCAATACCATGAAACAAATATGGGACTTATTCTTTCTCACGGTCTAGGTGTCACTTTTTAGAAATAAAAGTTGTATATTGCTCATCCATTTATGTAGACGTGGTATGGTGTAAAGCATTAAAGAAGACTGAGTGGCTCAGTCTACTAGCCACACACAGAAAACTGTCTTACACCCATACTCAGAAAACTTTCTTTCTTAAAAGTTGGGAATATTATACAATTCTACTGTAAAGGATGGAGGAAGGGGGGTACTGAGACTTTTCAACACTTTGGAAAAAAACAAGACATTTTTATTAGGTGTCTAAATGTAGATTAAGCAGCTTAACTTTAGGGATCCAGGTTTCTAAAATTTGACCACAAAATATAAAAATATCTCTGCAGCTTTCCCCCCCCAAGTATAAAAAGCTCACTTACTACATAAAGTACAACCATTAATAACTCAGTGGTACTCTAAATAGATGCAATTTAATAAGCCCATAGAGAATTATACTGGGATGGAAATGGGGAGAGGGAAAAGCAATTCATAAGCAATTGATAGAAAGAAGCAGATCTTACAAACTGAAGGTCCAGTCTAATGTTTCTCATGCACCATTTCAGTAGTAGTTTTAGGGGTGGAAGGATGAAAGGCTATAATTTTGTTTTTGTATTTGTGATTTAAAAAATCTGTACTGGCCCAATAAGTGAAGGGGATGAAAAATGACCCATGGATTCCCACAATAATAAACATGAAGTTCAACAATAATGATAACTTTCAAGGAAACTTGCAAAAAAAGAACACGTTTGTATTACAATTGATGGGGTAACTTTAATTCACCCTGTTGTACCACAGAGTTACCATCTATGTTTGTAATATCTGAATACAAAAAGAATAGGTAAAGGGTCATTGTCAGATCTGATTGGTCTAACATCACTGCTTCGACAGTACTTCAAAGGATTTTTCGGTCATGTACGCCATTTATTCTGACTCCGTAAAAACTCTTATTGCCATTCCAGACATTGGCTATGTCTAGACTGGCATGGTTTTCCGGAAATGCTTTTAACGGAAAAGTTTTCCGTTAAAAGCATTTTCGGAACATAGTGTCTAGATTGGCACGGACGCTTTTCCACAAAAGCACTTTTTGCGGAAAAGCGTCTGTGCCAATCTAGACACGCTTTTCCGCAAAAAAGCCCTGATCACCATTTTCGCGATTGGGGCTTTTTAGCGGAAAACAAATCTGGGCTGTCTACACTGGCCCTTTTGCGCAAAAGGATTTTTGCCCAAACGGGAGCAGCATAGTATTTCCGCAAGAACACTGACAATCTTACATGAGATCGTCAGTGCTTTTGTGGAAATTCAAGCGGAAATTCAAGTGGCTGATTTTCCGGAAAAACTGGCCAGTCTAGACACAGCCATTGTGTTTTGGCTTCCTCGTAGTACTGTAATCTCTTTGAATAAGTGGTATGCAGTTTGGAGTAACTCTTGGAGGTACTGTTGAAGTTAAAAATGTAGCTTTTTTTTCCTTCTGCAAGCCCGTGACAATCTATGCCACACTTGAAAAGTCTGACAATAATAGAGGTCAACCCATAGGGAGAAAAAACTTGACAATCAGTAGCTCTAGGACTTTTGCTCACTCCTTTCAACCCTGCTGTTACTGACGCAGTGTTGCATCACTAAACAATTTGCTGCTCTTAATGTTTTTCTGTCCTGCTTGTTTGGTAGAGTTGACTCTGCATACAATTACATAAATGGCTAGATTGTGCAATGTAAACACTGGCTCAATTTGGGGGTGGTGCAGAGCTATACTGCCCTATGTGGTGATGTGGGAGGGACAGTGTCCCAGAATTCCCTGGCATGCTGAGAAATTGTGCTTGTAGAATCCCTAATGATATGGCATACTCCCATCTCTGTGCTCTGTCACCTTTACCAGGGCAGTAGGGGGGAAAGGAATCATGATGCTGCCTCTTTCCTGCCCCCATGGGGTGTCGTGAGCCCCTAGAAGGGATTGATCCCTGTGCTCCCATGAGTGCAGAGACTGTGAAAGATTGAGGAGTACAAAGAAGGGATGATCTCTCTGAACCCACCCATGCAAAAGATAGGCACAGTCTGGTCCCAGACTCACTATAATAAGGACCCTCAATAACTTACCCTCAATAACTTTCCCCATTGCCCGTTTCTAGTGTCTAAAAACCCAACTCCCATAGAAAAACACCTGGAGACCCAGAATTCAGTCACTGAAGATTTTTAGCAAGGATTGTAAGCGCAACAGAACAAAAGGAATTGACTTAATTCTTAAGTACCAAGTAAGTATGTTTCTTTAATATAAAGAAAAAACAAATTGAATCTAAACAGGTCAGTCCCCAGAGAAACAGTGAGAAGAAACTCAGAATTCCTGAATGTTAGATGGAGTTTACCTAAATCTCAGTGAAAGTCTTTGATCGCCAAATCCATACAGTCTGTTGAATCAAAAGCAGTATCTTTCCTCCACTTGCTTGTAGAAATTTTCAGTTGGAAACCAAGCAGACTCTTCCTCTTCCTGTGCCAAAAATCTCTGTTAACTAGTCAGCTAACTAATTACCCAATCACTTGAGTTACAAGTTAAAGTGTTACAAGAAAAATAAAAATCCAAGTGTAGCAAAATATTGCTACTCTTTTCCCATTATCATATTTAAATAAGAGAAAAGTTGGTGAAACATGCTAGTTGAGGCCATTTAACTAAAACAGTTAGGCTATAATCAAGCAACATTCACAATATAGAATTAAAATAAAAAATAGTTTTTTCTCCCAATTATTTCAAAATAGCAGCAGCTGAATAGTATTCATGAGGACATTTTGAAATAACAGTTTCTAAATAGGCATTATTCCTCATGACAAGCAGGAGTTATTAGTTTGAAATAACTGGGTTGGTAGTGTGGATACTCGCCTTACTATTTCAAAATAACTTCCCAGTGTAGATATGCCCTACGGTGCTACACAGGACTTTAGGGCACCAAACTTCTAGAGATGGTGCTGCTTATATGTTTGAAAGATCAGGGCCTTAATATATATTGAACTGCTGCTGTGCAAGTTTGCACTAGGAAGGAGAGCATAGGAGATTATACAGTAAAATAAAAATGACATGTTTGATCACTGCCTTGAATGAATTCCCTTCCCTTTTTATTTTTTCAGATCATAGACCATGTCTGTGTGCTATCGAGACTAGAATGACATAGTGACAGTGCTGTAAATATGCTGGCATAGCCTTGTAATGCAGGTGCATCTTATAACAATGAAAGGAGTTTTTTCCATATCTGAAGAAACACCCCCTTCTTAAGTGGTGGTAGATCTGTTGACAAAAGCATTCTTTCATTGATTTAGTTGCATCTACAAGTGGGTTCAGGCTGGCATAGGTATGGCACTCAGCGTATGTCTAGACTGCATGCCTCTGCTGACGGAGGCATGTAAATTAGACATACCGACATAGTCAATGAAGTAGGGATTTAAATATCCTCCGTTTCATTAGAATAAAAATGGCCGCCACATTGTGCTGGCTCAGCTGTTTGTCGCACGAAGCGGCAGTCAAGACGGGGATCGGTCGGCAAGGAAAGCCTTTGCCGACCGATCCCTTATGCCTCGTACAATGAGGTTTACAGGATCGGTCAGCAAAGGCTTTCCTTGCCGACTGATCCCCATCTTGACTGCCGTTTCGTGACGACAAACAGCTTAGCCGGCACAATGCGGCAGCCATTTTTGTTCTAATGAAGAGGGGGATATTTAAATCCCCGCTTCATTGACTATGTCGGTATGTCTAATTTACATGCCTTGGTCGGCAGAGGCATGTAATCTAGACATACCCTCAGAGGTGTGGATTTGCACATTAAGTGCTGGTCTGGCCTACTGCCAGTCGATCTAACTTATGCTGCTCAGGGATAGATACCTCTCTGAAATAGATACCTCTCTGAGCGAAGTAAGTTACATGGATCTAAGTGCTGTCCACACCAGCACTATATCAGCAGTAGATGCACTCACTGGCACAACTTCTGCCATTTGCAGAAGTGGAGTAATTATGTCGATGGGAAAGCACTCTCCCATCAGCATAGCATGTCTTCACCAGATGTACTACAGAGGTGCAGTTGCATCGGTGCAGCTGCACTGATGGAGAGCCCTGCGTGGATACAAAGCTTGTATCTGCATCGGCATTCGTATCCATAAAAATGAGTCCCAAATATCCAACATCTGCAGATGTGGATATCTGGGGATACAAAGCAGATACCTATGGATTTGCTGGGCTCTACCGATGGAGCTCTCTGGTGCAGACTTCCCCTGATCGCTAGAGCTATGTTGACTTAAACAAAAAGTGTAGAATAGATCTAAATTCCTTTAAATCATTTAATATGCCTGACACTTCTCTTGTGTAAGTAAACTAATAAAGATTTTTTAAATTCACCAATAAATAAAAACTACTTGGAGCTCTGGCATCTGTTTCTTTTCAGCACTACTGCTTTTACTCTTATCTAAATTTGCTAAGGTAAATAACAGTACAGTGTGCATAACCTTGAGGGATGAATGTGTCATTTCTGCCTTCACTATGTGGAGTGTCTTAAATGATATTTTACCAACCATATCAAAATAATTAATATTACAATGGTTATATGTTCCAGATTTCAAGTGAGAATATATTTTTGATAATAATTATTTTGTGTTTTTCTTTGAAAATTTAAAAATTATGGTTGGTATTTCTAGTTCCTAGAAACTGTGGTGATGGGGGTTTTGCAAAGAGAGAGAAAAGTAGAGAGGTGAAAACTTTGAAAACAATTATCTATGTGTTTGTATTAATCATGGGCATGCTTTAAGTCAGAGAATAATGAGAGAAAAGTTAAACAGTTGTCTGTATATATGTGAAAGAAGTTTTGTAAGAATTTCTCCTAGACATTTTTGGTGTTTGTAGTCTATACAAAGATTTTAAATTTGTGTATTGGGGAAAATGATGCACAGCTCTCAAATACATTAGCTGAACTTTCACATACAGTGGGGAAGACATAAGTTCTTCTTTGAGTGATGTCCCCATGGGTGCTCCACTCTGGGTGCTGGTGTGGCCTCATGTCAGTGACTGGAGATTTTTCCAGCAGTGCTTTGCTGTGCTGCTCATGCGCTGTGGTGCCTCTTCATGCCATTGGTGTCTGTTATGTGTACGCGTGGTGCAGCTTCCTCAGTTCCTTCTTTACCATCCTCGGATGCTGATGGAGCTTCATTCACTCGCTCTTTCCTCACCTAAAACCCCAACAAAGTGGTTATTTCTACTCAGTTGTCTCCTTAATTCCAAGTTCAACTCCTATTAACAAAAAAAAAAAAAAAAAAGTTTTTCACAGTCACCCTGTTCTCCCCATAGCTGGCTCTCCAGGTTTCAAACATGGTGATTTTTGCCAGAAGGCTATGCCCATCTCTGACGGGTATGCTTGTTGCATAAAGTGCCTTCGGAGGCCTACTTGATGCAGAAGTGTCCACACTGCTCAAGCCTGATGGTCAGAGCCAGATGCAACCGCATCAATAGGCTGAAGAACTACTTATATGAAAAAATCACTTCAGCCACCACGTGATAACTCTTCCCCTAGAAGTCATCCCTCTACCTCGTCTGACAAGTCTAAGGTGAAAACCCGTGTTTTCTCGGCAAAATCGCTACCAGCAATAAGCCTGGCACCTCTGGCACAGCACCACCTAAACACTTGGTGTCGCAGAAGAGAGCTCATTTGGAGCCCAGACAGAAAACAATGGCACCAACGACACCGGCGGCACCAACTGAATCCATGGTGCTGGCTAAGCTTCATAAATCTGTGCCGAAAAGGACACAGGAGGCAGCACTGCATGTGGCACCTAAGAAACTCTGCACCGACATGCCCCTTCCAAAGGCACCATCTCTGATGCTATCAGCAGCACTGACCACAGCCACTCAACTTCTGCACTGCCGCTTGACTGCATTTGGCACTGTACACTGATGCTAGCCTGCGCTTCCTCTGCACCACCATCTCCATCTTCATCTGTGCGCTCTGTTCATTCACTAAGGCAGGGGTTCCCAAACTTTTTGACACAGGGCCCAGTAAATCCATTCACGAACTTTTGGAGGACCTGTAACATTCATTTGCATATTCATTAATCAAATGATGAATATTCAAGTAAGTTGTTTCTGGTCCTCCCAAAGCCCCCAGTGCCAGCTTCAGCAAAGCTTTTGATATGGTCACCCACAATATTCTTGCCAGCAAGTTAAGGAATAAAGATTGGACAAATGGAGTGTAAGACAGACAGAAAGCTGGTTAGACCAGGGTTTCCCAAACTTTTTACTTTAGTTGGAACCCTTTTTTTTCCGTACTGTTTTTTGCAGCTCCAAAATATAAACACATAAAAAACAAACTGAGAAAATACCAGACATATAACATGTCTGGTATTTTCTCATTAGGTAAGTTTTATTATTACTAGATGTATCAGTTTGTAGTTTCGAACTGCCTGGCTGGTAAATGTGCTCAGACTGCGTGAGTGTGACTACCAGCCAGACAGTTCGCAACTACTCGAGGGGTTAGGGGTGGGGCACAATAGAATCCCCAGACTCACTCGTGCTTTGTGGGGGGGAAGGGGACAGCGCCCCAAGATCGTATATGACCGGGTCAGTCCCACTCCCTGCCGGGCAATTTGCTCCCCCCGCTGTGCCTCCGGCCAGCACCACTTCTCCCAACCCCATCCTGGACACCCCGTTCTCCCCCGCTTCTCCTCCCTTGGCCAGGCCCGCTGCCCGCATCCAGTTCCCTACCCCCGACCTTGGACCCCCCTGGCAGCCCTGCTTCCACCGGCCCCCCAATCTCTCCCGGACAGTCCCGATGCCCCAGGCAAGCCCAGCTTCAAGTGGCCGCTTCTCCCCTCCTACTCCTCCCAATCTCCCGGCCAGCCACCTGCCCCCCGGCTAGCTCTGCTTCCGCCGGCTGCCCCTCCCCCAATCTCCCTGGCCCACCCCGATTCCCCCGTCCAGTGCTGCTTCCGATGACTGGCTTTCTCCTCCTCCTCCTCCCTTCCCACCTCTCTCCGACCTCCCCTAGCTACACCTCTACTGGGAGCCAGAAGATCCAGCTGTAGACTCTGCCCAGGCCAGCCAAGGTCTTGGGGGACCCGGCGCCACATAGGCACTCCACTGAGGCCCAGTATTTTTTTCCTGCGGCCTGGTGCTGTGCTGCGGCCCATAGTTTGGGAAACACTGCACTGTGCTGTGCTGCGACCCATAGTTTGGGAAACACTGCACTAAGGTCTCCAGCTCCATCTATTTCACCAAGTGAGGCTGGTAGCATAGCCGTTTTTCTTCCCAACATTCCAGTCCTACTCAGCGATATCCTCACTGGGAATCCCACTCCTCCGAACCATCACATCTGCCTCCACCACCTCCCTGATACTCACACCACTGGCCTTACCCACCACCTCCTTACTCAGCCTAATAGCATCCCTGAGATACCCGGTCTTCTCACAGGAGCCACCACTCTGCTTCTTTCACACCATCCAAGAGACTACCACAATCTCCTCATCATGCACTAAGAGACATGACACTGACCGCCCCGGACTGTTTACAATTAGAGGCTGAGGACTCCCTCTCAGAAAGGGAATAGAGATTCCCCATTACACAACTCCTTGTCATCCCTTAATGAAGCCATCATCCCCTCCACCACCCTACCATCAGATGATTTTAAACAATTCTGGGATATCTTCAAGAGGATGGCACTAGCACAGGAATGCAACCTGCAAGAGGTACCATCATATCAGTATAGACTTTTGCATACATTGCAGCCGCCAACATCCTCAAGGATCACGCTTCCAATGAATGAATCCATTATGGACCTTGCCGAGATTATCTGGCAGACCCCAGCATCAATTACACTCACCAACAAGAAGGCTGACCGTAAACACTTCATCAAACCTAACGGCATGGACTTTCTTTTTCCACACCCACCAGCTAACTTCCTGGTGGTTGACTCAGCCAGACACAAGGCCAAACAGCCAAACATGAGATCTACTCCAAGATAAAGAGCATAAGAAGCCTGACATCATGGGCAAAAAGGTATACTTGTCTGCAACCTTGATATTAAGGGCAGCTCACTTTACTGCCATGCTCACTGATTACAATTATACAAACTACTCCAAACTTCAAGAGCTCCTCCAGTTCCTGACGGAGCACAAAAGGCCAACACTCCTGAATATTATGCAGGGCACACTATCTCATGCGTGATGTTACAATCCACTATGGACGTGGTCGACACCGCAGCACACACCAATGCAGCAACAACCCACAATGTCTCAGCCCTCATCATCTAAGCAGCAAATTTGAAGGTTTGTTGGGAGTAAGAGAGGCACCCCTACTATGGTCACATCACCAACTGGATAACTACACTTCAATAAACCACCCATGGCTCCTTTTACACCAATGGGCACAAATAAAATCAGACAGATGAGTATTAGTGCTCATCAAAGTGGGCTACTCTATCCCCTTCATTACTACTCATCCTACCCATCCCCCCTTTCTGGCCCTCTTAAGCGACCCCTCTCATGACATATTCCTCCAACAGGAGGTCCAACACCCTCTGCATATAGGAGCAACAGAGCCAGTGCTAACAGCCTTCCAAGGGAGGGGATTCTATTCAACATACTTCCTAACCCAAAAGAAAACTGGCGGGTAGAGACCCATTTTAGATCTAAGGAGGCTCAACAAATGAGTAAGATACAGAAGGTTCAAGATGGTGACATTAGCAACAATTATTCCAGCCCTGGATCAAGGAGACTGGCTCTCCACCTTCAAGATGGATATTTCCACATAACAATACATCCCACTCACAGACGTTTCCTATGCTTTATGGTGGGAGACCAACACTACTAATAACGGGTTCTCCCATTCGGCCTTTTGACAGCCCCCAGAGTTTTCTCCAAGATTATGGCAGTCCTTACGGTGCATCTACGCCGCAAAAGTGTGATAATATTTTCATACCTGCTGGGGCTCTTCAAATCAAAAGCACCTACATGGAGCCCAGGCTCCATGGATTCCCCGCTGGCCCCAGGCTCCATGAGATGCTTCCACTTTGAAATGTATAAGAGCCCCAGTGGGGACTCTTGTACATTTCAAAGTTGGAATGCTCCTGTGCCCCTGTCCCCTCCCATGGAGCTGGAGCTGGGGGGAACCCCCTCATCTCTCTCTCCCTTGCTGCCTCTTTCTGATAGAAACAGTGGAGGGGGGAGGGAAGGGAGTGACTAGTCGACTAGTATGTCAACTATCGGATAAGCTTTTGCTTATTGGATAGTCAACAAGTTGATTAGTTGCTTACATCCCTAGATCAAACACAACCAACCTCCCCATCTTAGACTACCTATTCAAAGAGGAATTACACAAAAATGAGGAGGTTAGTTAAACAGAAATTAAAAGGCACAGTGGCTAGAGCCAAATCCCTGAAAGCTGCATGGAAACTTTTTAAAGACACCATAATAGAGGCCCAACTTAAATGTATACCCCAAATTAAAAAACATAGCAAGAGACCTAAAAAAGAGTCACCGTGGCTTAACCACCATGTAAAAGAAGCAGTGAGGGACAAAAAGGTATCTTTTAAGAAGTGGAAGTCCAATCCTAGTGAGATAAATAGAAAGGAACATAAACACTGTCAAATCAAGTGTAAAAATGTAATAAGAAAAGCAAAAAAAGATTTTGAGGAACAGCTAGCCAAAAACTCAAAAAGAAAAAACAACATGTTTTTTAAGTACATTAGAAGCAGGAAGCCTGCTAAAAAACCTATGGGTCCCCTAGATGATCAAGCTATAAAAGGAGCAATCAAGGACGATAAAGCCATTGCGGAGAAACTAAATGATTTCTTTGCTTCAGTCTTCACAGCTGAGGATGCTGGGGAGATTCCTGAATCTGAGGAACTGTCCCTGATTGAAGTGTCATTAGAGGAGGTTTTGGAACAAATAGAAAAACTTAATGTAAACAAATCTCCGGGACCGGATGGCATTCATCCAAGGGTTCTAAAAGAACTCAAATGGGAAATTGCTGAGCTAATATCTGTGGTTTGTAACCTATCCTTTAAATCGGCTTCTGTACCTAATGACT